TCACGCGTGAGATCTCAGTTCCGCGCCACTTTCCCTCACCAGCTCTCACGGAACCAGCCACATCTTCCCCCGACAATTTGTTCATCAGACTGCTGTGTGCCATCTCATTGGCTGTTGCTGTTACAAGGCCCACCGTCAGCATCCAATAGTATGTTTGCTGGAAGGATGGACAAATGAACAAGATGTTACATCACACTCTCCCCAAAACCTAGGGAAGGCTTCGCTCATGCTGCCTCCTCAATCCTAATCTCACTCTTTTTTTCCAGAAGACATGCAGATGAATTTGCTGTACTCTGATTTTTTTGCTAAGGATGACAAAGAAAGAAAATAATGGTTCCACTATTTAAAATTGTTTTAACTTATCCTTATCTACAAATGGCATTTAATGGCATTGGAACTGATCTACTCAATCCATTTATGCATGTATTCTGAACTTGAAATTTCGTCTAAATCTTGACATTTTTTGTGAAACATATGAACAACTTATCCTCGATGGAACAATCAAAACAAACAAAAAAAATCAGTTTTGAAACTCAGCCCAGAGGCAACGTTTTACAAAGTTTTCTGAAGATGCAGTTACCTTCTTTTTCCTTACTAAACTTTATTCTGACAATCAGCTCAAACAATCAACTGGAGCATGAGGCTACTTTGGCTAATCATACTATTAATAATGACACGACAATACGCACTTAAGTGCCAGAAACTGTACTACCTGATTTACAGAGAACTGGTTCTCACTTACCCCTCACAACAATCCTATAGAACTGCTAGTAAGAAGCTAGAATTCAAGTCTAGACCTGGGTTTCCAAGGTCTCATTTGACAGCTTAGCCAGAGTTAGTGCTGCACAAAAATGAAAAGAAAAAACAGCCAGGACAACAGGGCTGTGTGAGTCCAGTTTTGGTACAAAGATCAAGGCTTGCATTTCCGTCTGGCTCTCCAGCTGGTTGTTTCATTTCATAGCCTCGGACTAATAGTTGAAGGCTGACCTGCTACCTCCAATCTAGAGAACTTGACCTTTGTGGGCACATGAACTCTTCTTTGGATGCTGAAATGCGGAATGAACAAGTAGTCAAGAACTTCCATGACTAAGTCTGTTTCTCTGCCCACCTTCACCTGCTTTTTGGAGAAAAATGGGAGTCAGATAAGTTCCACTGGCACCCTAAGCTTAACTAAGGGTTTGCTAATATAGATGTGTAGAGGGCAAAATGCAGAAGCAAAGCCCTTCGAGAAATCTAATGTTACTCTTCCGAAGGGCATTTATTCAACAATAAAAAAACGATTCTCTGATACAAAATGGATACACCCTGAAAACGTTATGCTAAGCATGTCAAGGTACTCAAGTCACATTATCTATTATCTCTGTTTCAACAGCAGTCACTTTAGAAGAACTCCAGTGATGGAAAGGACACAATAAGTGCAACATGTATTTAAGTTCAAACCAAGTCCCACATGGGCCGAGGATTTAGCTCAGTGGTTCCGCTGCCTGCCTCGCAAGCACGAGGTTCCCAGTTCAATCTCCAGTAAAAAAAAAAAGGAAAAAAAAAAAAAATCCCACAGACTACATTGTTCATTTCTCTACTGCAATGACTGTTCTTTCCCTTATGCAGTACAAACTGACCACATTTATCAGCAATCTTCTGTTTAATCCCTACATAGACCTTCAAGGAACTGCAGCTCCCTTCCTGCCTGTGCTCTGTTCTAGGATATACGGTGGCCCTGTGACAATGACAGGTGAGAGTCTTACTCTTTAAACCAACTAAACCTACCTATGAGGGCCCCAGTGGAATCAGGGTGATTCCCTGGAGTGGTGCTATTACTGAAAAGAACGAGAGAAAAGAGATGACTGAGCTCTCGATCAAGAGATCATTTAGAAAATGAACAAATAATGAGTGTATGGCTGTAAAAACCTAACTAGATTAAGGAATCTGTAACCTAGAATTTTTTGGTACTGGGGATTGAAATCTGGTCCTTGTACTTGGCAAGGCAGGCAGCAGAACCACTGAGCTAAATCCCAGCTAGAATATTTATTGATTGCAAAGTACACCTAAATTTCAAGGGTTTTTTTCCCCCAAGTTTCCTTCTTATTTTAGGTTTAGAAGAGCTTACATTTTGACACTGTAGCCATGTGTAGTGGCTACTGTGATCCCAGTACTCGGGAGGCTGAGGCAGGAGGATCACTGTGAGTTTGAGACCAGCCTGGGCTACATAGGGCGTTCCAGGTCAGTCTCAACTACATAGTGAGACCCTGTCTCAAAAAACAAAAAAAGAAAAAAAAAAAAAAAAAAAAAAAAAAAAAAGAAAGAAAAGGCCTGACATCTATCAAGGGCCTTTAAAAAGACCCTCTGGAGGGTATCTCTGACTACTGCTCACAACTATGACCCCTGTCAGACTGAAGTAGCAAGAATGGTCACTGTCTTTGCCCCTTCACGACAGTTAGGGCGGCCTCATCAGAAGGGGTAATAGTATGTACAGCTAAATCAGGTAGAAATATTATAGGCAGATAGGGCTAGGCCTTCAAGACAGTCAGTGCAAAAGATGAAAACAACTGTGGCTGGAGGCACATCTGTTGGAAACCAAGCCTTAGAGATAAAGACAAAATGACCAGGCCTACATATTTCCCCAGGGACGAGATAAGTGGTAACAACAGGTCTAATGAAGTCTAGATAGACATCAGTAACCTCAATGGAAGACCCTCAGACCCATCACCTTCCTGAAGTTCTTTGTTCTTTCCGTGTACACTTTCCATACGACTTGCTTCCACACTACCATACCACCTAAGTGACTAAACTTGTAACTTTACTATTTGATCATAGCTCTAAGTACCCACATGGTTGTGCTCTATAAAACTTCCGCTGTGAAGCAGAGTCCTTGGCAACCCATTCAGGACCCCTCCTGCCTCTCAAGAGCTGTATCTCTAAATAAATATATGCTACTGTTCACCTCCATTGTTACTTAGAATGCATTTTTCAATTTTGGGGAACATAAACTTGGCATATCAGACATCTAGTAGGTTGGGAGTTATATTTCCCCTACATCATTTGGAAGCCTGATATTATTCCTATGAGTACTATTTACATATAAAAATTCTAAAATCATACATCTGGTTGAACAAATAACATTTTTATACGATTTAACCCTAATTACTTGTCATCTCTGCTAGTTCGTTTCTCAAATCATTTCAGCTCACCCCCCCATATCAAAAAAAAAATGCCTAAAATGTGCTAATCTTTATTTTCTTTGTTTTTGAAAGATTCCCTAAATTTGGCAAGACTGAGCAATCATTTTCTTTTGAAATCCAGGCCATGTGTAAGTAATGCTATAAATCATAATTTAATTACTTCCGCTTAAGCACTTAAAATTTAAGGAAGATTTTCCAATAACCTGGGGTAAAATGAACTTGACAATATGTCACTTCAATAATGACACCATGATCCTCTCTGCTGTCCTAATATTTTAGTTCAAGTTTCATCTCTAAATCCTTCCTTAGTTTACTTGGGGTTAAATCTTCTAAATCCAAGAGTTACTCATAAAATAAGTGTCACATCCCTTGACTTTTATTAGTGAGTCATATAGAGATAAATTATCAGGCACTATGGTCAATTTTAAATAGCAAAAGAAAAAATTATTAACATTAGTCTTTGCTCCCAAATTACAAAGGTTTGTCTTGATAATCGATTATCTATGACATTACCGTCTTGCGTAACTGTTGCCAAATTCCTTAAGCAACTTTTTCCAATCTGACAAGGAACCTAGAGGAGTCACTTCTGAAATTACACTATAACCTCAATTATAATCAAACTGAGCACCTTTCTTTCAAAGATTATTAAAACGTAACAGGGGTCTGTCAAAAGTAGCAGGCCAATAGTTGCTTCAAAAAATGAAGAGCTCAACTACGCATTTCTACTTGAAATATGTTCTGTTCACATTGCTGGCCCCAAAAGTTAACTTGTTATACCTTTCCTACGAAGTTGTTTAAATGCTTTTAAATAAGCAAAAAAAAAAAAAAAAAAAAAAAAGA